ATCTGTCTAGGGTTCCAGACAGACCCCCATGGGAACGACTACATGCAGCCCAAAATGCAACACTGTGCAAACTGCATGTACTACAAGCCCACCAACTGCACATGCACCATAAAAGGAAACTGGATGCTTGTTTCCTGCACTGTCTGTATTCCACATCTGTGGTCCTATTCTTGTGCTTTGACACACTGTTGTTGACTTCTTCATGTTGTTCAGCCAAATACCACAAACATAGGCACTCTCCTTCCTGTCAGGTGGTCACCATCATGTTTTCTGGTGCTAGTGTGGAACCTGTCCCTGTACACATGAACCGAATTGTAGCATGCACAAAAGTGCATGTACTGTACAAGTGTTGTCCAAGCGCAAGTCCACAGCAATCTGTATACAGTACATCCTGGAGTATGATTAAGGCTTTCTGCTGTCGGTCAGCAGTGTCTTTTTCTCTCATTTTACCTGAATGATCCACTGGATAAAGATCTACTTTCTGTGCCATTTTAGAGATGGTAGATCTTTAGAATGCACAAATGAAGAATAGCTATTAGAGAGAGAAAATTATTGTTGTTCTTTATTCTCCAACCATCTTAATCGAAAACTCTCATGTGGTTGCAGATGGTTTAATCCACATGATGTGTGTTACATGTTTTGATGCCAACATGTATCTAACAAACACAAACACCTGTTATGTTTTGATGCCATGTATCTAACAAACACAAACACCTGTCCTTGCTAGTTCATATCAAGCTCATCTGTGTCCTAATCAAAACAGCATAGAGCTAATCAAACCTTTGTGCAGCATGCTGGTATTTGTCCTAACAGAAACAGCATCGAGACCTTCAGTTTGTGCAGCATGCAGGTCTGTGCTACAGTTTACCTTGTTGTGCTGTTTGCTTTAATATACTTCAGCTGTGGCAGTTGTTACTCTTGACACCCTGTTATTAGCAACAGACACACTTGCAATTATTCTGTTAGTGTGAAAGGACTAGCTGATTATGGATGATTGGCTGGATCACAACCCGATGACAAAGAAATTGACATGCAAATGCACACACAGATATGTAAATAATGTGCTGAAATCAGCCATGCAGTGTGGGGGTGGGTGTGCATGTGTTTATGCAGGCTGCTCATGTACTAGTTCATGTGGGCGTGACATTGTGCTTTTTGAAGTGTCATTTGGAGCAAAGAGACAATTTAACAAGACAGAAAAATCTGAGTATGTGTCAGAGTAGAAGAACACAGAAGAAATAATCAAGTGATTATAGATTGCCTGACTTCCAATTAAAGTCTTAGCATGCTTTTGCTGTGTAGTGATTTGTTTTGTAAGTCTGCTTTGTGTATTTAGATCACCTTGAAAACTGGATGGCCCCAGCATCTGGTATCAGTCTTGCTTGTTTTGTTTCTTCTGTTGTGTATTTTTTGACACCTAGCAAAGCCGCGGCTCCAGCCTTCACAGTTAGCATGTCTTTAATTAACTCACAACATGGCATACCACTTAGAGCTCTGAGTCCGTTGCTGTTACGCAACCTCACCCTCCCACACACAAACACATTTATACATCTTAATTATTTATGCATCTTTCCCAAGTGGTGGAACATGACAGTTCTATTAGCTTTTGCTTTAAATGTGTGTATGCATTCTAAGTGCAGAGGGCTAGATCAGTGTTGTTGAATTGTTTTAGGTATAGATGTGTCTAGACCGCTCATTGTTAATCTAAAGGTGATATCTATTTGTACAGGGACATTATGTTGACAGGTTGTCTAAAGCTGTGGACTCTGGGTGCTAAACCCAAACTGTGCACTGTGCATATAGCCCTATATGAAATCGTATCAAAAGAATATTTTGGAAGAAATAATCAGACCTATCAAGCTTGTGTGTTACAGCTTGCTGCTCATCTTTTTCTTCTGACTCTTAATGTCTTAATGGGATTAGCTGGCTTTGATGGTTGTTGATGATCACCAGTCAGGTCAAGCAGGATAACTAGTAGCTTATCAGTGACCCTGTTTAGACTTGGTTTTAAAATGTGTCCTGGGCAAATACAATTGTAAATGACCACCAAGACGGATTGTGATCCGATCACTGAAACCACTTGCCAAGGTGATCTGGGTTGGGTTTGGCCATATATTTTCTGTAGTGTAAATGGTAGTGCGTCCTGATGCATCTCTGGCAAGGCTGTTCAAGGAAAATGCGTCATTGATGCAGGATGTGGTGGTTGTTTTAGTGAGAGTGCCCCAATGCTCAGTAAAAGAAAAAAAATGCTGAGAATTGTTGGACTCCTTCTTCTGTGGTTAGGGAGACTACTGGCACCTGTCTGGTAACAGACAGAATAATAATTGTACCTGTTGCCATTCGATACTAAAGTGGAAGTGTCGCAGTAGTATCAAAATCTGAACACAAGTGGATCCCGGGCACCTTGGAGACTTACGTATGTTGACAGGGGTAAACAGTGATGTGTCTCGGCTGTCCATTTGTGTCCGGATCATTAACCAAAGCCCGGCACTAATTTCCTTCATCTTTTCAGTAGTTCTGTCACTGTCTAATGTTGTGTTGTTGCCGGATGGGAAGAGTAGAAACATTCAGATGTGTTCCAGTAGTAGACTGTAAGTATGGATAAAGAACAAATCTGGTTGACCTGGGTTTGACACTTAGGCTAATTGGAACACTTTTGGTGTCAGTTTTGGTAATTCCTTCACATTCTTCCAGATGATGTGTTCTGAGGCAATATGACAATGTCTCTAGTGGGTGGCTGAAACTCATGATTGACAATTTAAAAAGATGCAGAAGAAGGGGAGAAATTCTTTTTCTTCTTTGAGAATTCTTCTTCCTGGTCAAAACCTTGTATCTATATTACCCACGGTGCAAAACACACAGAGACACATGTAAGAGATTCCTCAAGAGTTTTGTATGTGAAATTAGTGGAATTCTCCTTTAATTTGGGCCCCTCCCTTCTGCAGTAGCAGTAGGCACCACTCAGTGACAGCCACACAACCTGTTGCACCACTAAACTAACAGTGGCACCTGTCAAAGATTATGCTTCGGGGAAATCTGACCAGGTTTTAATCAGCGTTCAGATGTTGGGTCAGTTTTAGACATGTGTTTGAAATAATTCATGTAAAAATCATGTTTTTTTTGGAAAGCTGCAGGAGGCTTGCACTGGTTGCTCTCACATAAACTATTTAACTCGAGCCCTCACTTCCCCATATCTCTAAGGCGGGTAAGGCAAATGAAAAGTTAGCATGATACACAATAAGAGATGGGAGTGAAAATTCTGCACGTTTTAGCCCCTATTAATAAAACTAGAAAACCTATTGAATATTTATATGCTCTGTGTCTGTATAAGGATTTTCTGGTTGACTGGAAAAGCATTCATAATACTGTAATTGGAAAGAAAAATAAATATATAAATATGAATGTAATAATGAGTTTTGCTGAGACAAGAACACTAGTTTAAAACATAAATTGAGTTGCAAAAATTAAACTGGGAGATGCCAGAGCAACATAAATGATGTACTTAGTAACACTAAGGTCTTTCACTTCTGTCCTGATCTGTTTTGTTCTGTTTGATTCATCCCTGCTTAGTTTTGTTTTGTTCCCCTTATAACATCTCTTTTAACTTGAATGAGTCCCTAAATTGCCTTTGGCAGCCCAGTAGAAGTCCCTAGAACAGTAAAACTGTGTTAAAGTGAGTGATGGCGGCAGCAGTTAGGTTTATATTGCTAGCGAGGAACTCTTTACGAGACTGTGTAGAATACTTTCTGGCAGGGACTGTGAATAAGGGAAGTGAGAGTGGAGAAGGACAATGCACCGAAGACAATAATATCAGGAGAATCACATTAAGATTACCTTATTGCTCAGTTTACAAAATGGAATTGCCTATTTTGTGTGTTCATGTCCCCCTTTACGGCACTCCTAAACTTCATTTCCTCTCAGGACAGATCAGAGAGCAAGGTCATGTATGGTGCAGCGTCCAAGGAGAAAGCAGTTTGAAGTTTAGTGTCCTGTTCAAGAGCACATTCAGGTTCACTTTTAAGTCATCAGTTTACACCCCGCAATGCACTGCCTGATAGGAGTGAGAACCCAACCAGCAAAGGGAACAGCAGGGCAGTTTAAAGTTGGGCTGGTATTTAGTTACAGACTAAAAAGAGGGAAATGAATGGAGAAAAGAGTTTGGCAGTAGTGAACTTGGAAAAAGTGGTTAGATAAGGAGCTAAGGGAGGAAATACCCCCACAGCGAGAATGTTAAGTGTTTACAAGATGAAGATATCTTTGCTCCTCCGTGTACCCCATGCCTCTCTCATGACACATCGCCATCGTACCTAATCAGCCAATCACGGCTGGATTCTTTCTAAGAGGCCTGATTGGCTGATTAACCAAGCTCATCAACACACCACCCGGTGTGACTACACACAGTATCACAGACACACGATGTGCAAATGACTTTACTTAGTCTGTGTTCACATATGCATAATCTGTGCATGCATTTATTTTCTTTGCATTTGTAAAACATTTCAAGTCTGTGTGGGCAACATGTCTGCAAGTTCACAAAGTTTTAAAAGTTGAAGTTGAACTGTTTTACCACCTTAAGCATCTTAAAATTGCATTAACATTGCAGTTGAGGCTCAAATAATATTTCCGATGAATATGTAATTGTGGCTGGCGGTGGTACTTTGGTTAGAAAGAAAATTACAGCCAAATAGCATTTTTCTAAATGTATAATAATATGATTAGCATAATAGGTGACAATTAAAGCACACATTTATGTACAGTGTACTCTATCTGGCAGCAGCTGACATAATAGAAATGCCATCAAAAGTTCAATAGTTATTAATAATAGTAATAATAACCTATATTTATAAAGCACTTTACAACTCATCTGACCACAAAGTGCTGTACAGTAAGAACTAGCAAAACTAAAACACCTAAAACATTATTGCTGCATGTTTGATTATGATTGCCAGAAGAACTGATGTTTCAGTCTGCTTTATGTCGCTCTGTCTTCCCCACCACAGATTTGTTCCTGACCACTGATGGGTCTGCATTTGAGACTTGGATCAGCAAAGTAAGAGGGTTTCTTTTTTTGTACTTGTTAGCTTTCTCTTTTTCTGCCTCAGCTTTCTTTTCTACTGCCCTTCTTTTTCAGGTCAGGTCCATGTGAGTCAGGACAGTTGTGTGTGAGTCACATACTCTCCTGTGCCCATACAGCAGGCAGCATGATTACTGTGTTAAACACAGTTTTGTACAAATCAAGTCAGTTTTTCTTACTGTTAGTCCTCATATACTTTGTATTGCACGTATCATTTGTCATTGCTATATCAGCTATTCCAAGGCTGTTATGTAAAATTGATAATATTGCAGAAATGTGGCTGCAACAACTACTTACATCTTGATTGATTTGTAGTCTGTAAGGACAAAATAATCAACACAAAATTGTACCTTTAAAAATGGCCTTCACAATTTACCACAGCCCCTACAAATGTTTTCAGTAGAAAATATTTTCTCTGACAGACAAAAAGATGTTAATATAAAATTTATATAAAAACAAACTGTGGGGAAAAAAGAGAGAAAAAAATTCTCAGATGTTATTGTTCAGAACTAGCATACCGTATATTTGGTATTACTGTACACTACTGCTACGTGTGAACAGTTCATCGATTATTGAAACATTTACTGATGCAGTTTTGGACCAAAGGTCAAGGTCAGTGTTTTTGTCATATGCACAGTTAGGAAACATTTTTCCCTGTACAATGAAATTATTACTTTGCTGTCCACATGAATACCACCAACTACTCAGACTCAATACTCCAACTTATCATTTTAGCAAAGGGTGTAAAATATGTAAATGTTTCTCCAAAAAGGAAATTATGGCAGGGGGTTTTTTTTTTTTTGCAGCACATGACCAGAGAAAAAAATTCAAACAGGTCTGTCAGGTTATTTTAGGCGTTAAAAACTGCCAAGTGATGAGACTGTCGTGGTGAACTGTCAGTGACTTAGTTTAGTGGTTTCTAACTGATGGTCCAAGGTCCAAAAGTGGGTCAGGGGTACATTCTGAGAATTTCACAGGGATATGAATCATCTTAAGAGCTATTTCAGCAGCAGCGCTATGACATGATGCCATTCTAGTAGGACCTACAATATGGTCACCAGTAGGAAGGATATATGGGCATCCATTTAAGTGTAACCACTGTAAAGCATTTCACCTAGTAATCAGGATGTGATGACCAACCGACCCCCTTTAACTGCATTTCTACTGTCGGAACCTAATGAGTGGTACTTCACTCTGCCTAACCTCCCAGGTTGACACAGACCATCCTGCATTGGGTTTTACTGTATTTTCTCTGTTGTTCTCTGTTTAGCGGAAGGAGGGGTTGTTCTCTTGTTACACACACATCAGAAGGAGAGCAGATGAAGTGAAAGATTGCTCCATAATGCAACAATCAGCCAATAGAGGAAACTGTATGAGCAGTTTATCAAATAACTTTTGAACAAGCAGAACACAAACTTGCAGCAATGTGATGTCTTCACCACTCACTGAAGTCCCTGTTTTACCTCTAAACTAATGGGTGTGTTTACACACGGTGCTTGTAATGCTAATAGTTGAAGTGTGAAGAACGAACATTTAACCAATCAGGGGCAACTGCTCTGCGCCCGTTGTACCCCGCCCCCTTCACTTTCCTGGAACCTGATTTTAGTACTACCTCCTGAAGAGTACTGAAATTTAGCTCCCAGAATGCATCTCCAAAGTAGGTGGAGAACAGTGGAAACAAACACAGAACCTGTGTTGTGCATTACTCAGCTTGACACCTTTCAATAGGAAAAACCCCTATTGGTAATTTCCTTAATGTAACAGACTTGCAAAGCTTTGGTGGACTAGGGGATGCATGATTGTTGACACTGCTGCAGAACTAGTTAATATTCTGGGAGAGCAGAAAGAGGAGACTGGCTCTGGATTTTTGTCGAAGGGACCTATTTGAAATTCAGCATGTCGAGGCACAAACTGAACAGTAGTCTGTCTTATCACAGAGAAGGGGAATAGGAGAAAGGAAGCTGGAGGAGGTGAGGAAGGCGAGAGAAACAGAGGGAAATTGAAGGATTTTGCAGAGACAGAATGTGTGTGAGGAGAGAGAGAAAGCAGGAACAAAACAGAGAAAATAAACTATTATCCCCGAAGACCAGTAGGATAGGTGACGGGTGGTAGGAATATTGATCAAGTGAGAGGATAAAGAGAACTTCCAGTGAACATACATAAAGGTCATTTTGAATTTCAAAGGGGACCACAAGCTTTTATTTACCTCCACCTTTTAGTTCTGTCTGTTGTCTGTCTGTCTTACTTTTCAAAAACACACTTTGTAAAAAGTTAGGTCTGTAGGCCAAGGACAAAGTCATTAGGTTTTATCCCTACAGCCTGATGTATGGCACTGTTGGTCCACCGTTTTAGTCCAGATTAAAACATCTTGGAAACAATTTGATGCATTGCCATGTGATCCATAAAACTAACATGGGCTAATTATCAAGTCCCTCACTTGCCTCTCTTCCTAGCATCTTAGGGCAAAGACACACCAAGCTGGTGTGAAAGAACTAGCACCAATGAAGGCCGACTGCTATGTCGCCTCACAACAGCTTTGTCTGGGCCAGTCAGGTCCTCACAACAGCTTTGTCTGGGCCAGTCAGGTCACACTGTACAGACTATAGCCAATGGCTGACTAGCATGTACGTTCTGTGCCTGCGTGAGAGAAATAACTCCCCCTACCAGCAGGTGGGCAGTATCTGTAGTCCCTATTCAGAAAGGGAAAGAAGAAGAGCTAGAATGTGGAAATAAAAGCAGTAAACAAAGTGCCTCTTGTTCAAAACATCTGCTGTTTATAGCTGCTTCATATCGAGAGTATGTCTGATAAGTTGCAAATTGCACTGCCATTCTCTGCCCTTGGTCGTTTGGTTGTAGAAGAAGAAAGGAGGTCATGGAGGTGAAAAACAAGGAGAAATCACACTAAATAAGTGAAATCATGGATACTGCAGTGACAGGCTGAAGGGGCTTTCCTGAACTGTTCTCTTCTTATACACTGATTTACTAAGCTTAAGAGCCAATCAAAGTGGTCTCTCTCTCTCTCCGACAAGGCCCAACTGCCGACGCCAATTCAACATGTTGAATCAGCCAAAAAGCCGCTGACAGGGGCCAACTAATGCCAGCAGTGCAGGATGCCAGAGCAACACAAATGATGTACATCAACGTCCGACTGTCAGCTTGATGTGTCTCTGCCCTTAGTCCCATCCATGTAAGACGTGTCAAACTCAAGGCCCGCGGGCCACATCCGGCCTGCGAGATCATTTTATATATCTTTTTTTTAATGACCCAGCAATATGAGGCGCCGATAACACACAAACTACAAATACCAT